ACTTGGTGGGGGCATAGCTGGGGGGGGGGGAAGGAGCCAAGGCTGTGGGGTCTCTCTGGGGTCTCCCCAGGACCTAACTTTGGGGTTTTGGGGTCTCACGGGGGCTCTGGGGTCTCCCCAGGACCTAACTTTGGGGTTTTGGGGTCTGACTGGGGCTCTGGGGTCTCTCCAGGCACTCAGAGGTCCCTTCAACCTAGAGCAGGGGTCTCTCCAGATGTCTGGGGGTGTCTTCAAGCATCTGGGGAGTCCCTGGTGCCCTGGAGTGTCCCCAAGGCACTCAGGGGTCCCTGCAGCCCTGAGGCTCTGAGGTCTCTCCAGGCACCAGGATCCCTGCAGATTTTTGGGAACACCAGGGCTCTGGGGTCCCACTGGGGCTCTGGAATCTCTCTAGGATCTTGTCTTTGTAACTTTGGGGTCCCATTTGGGTCCCTGGGCTCGCTGCAGCCCCATGGCTCTGGTGGCCCCTGGGACCCCCGGGGTCTCTGCAGCCCTGAGGCTTTGGGATCTCACCAGAGCCCCTGGGGGTCCCCACAGCCCTGAGCAGTTCCTGAAGTCCTGGGACTCTGAGACCGCCCTCAGCTCCAGGAGCACCTGCAGGCCTGGGGCTTTGGGCTCTCCCTCTGCAGCCTCAGCATATTTGGTGCCTTGCACCACTCCTGGGTCAGGATCTCACTGGCATTCCTGCCTCTGTCTGTGTCCCTCAAAGACCCTGATGTCCCTCAGGTATTTACCACCCTCCTGCTCCCGCCCTGGGACCACCCTCACCTCCCAGCCCCATCTCCTGGTGCAGCTCTAAGCCTTTCTGGCTGCTCCAGCTGCATTTCTCTGAGACAAGAAACTCTCAACCCATCTTTTGCTTTTCCTCCTGACTCCCTTGTTCATTCCCCAGGGGATCAACCCTGATGGAACAAGGATCTGAGGGGAGTCAGTGCTGTGGTTCACATCAAGCCAAACCAGAACCGTTTTCTGTAGGAAAAACATTTTCATTCCAATTTGCAAAGGCTTTCAAAGGCAATTCTCAGAGGAGCAGGAGCAGTCACTGCAGAGGGGATTGGATGTTCTTTTCCAGCTCTGGAGAGGCTGGGAGCCCCTCCTGCTGAGGCATCCAAGCTCATTAATGGAGCTGTGAACACCCACATGCAATGCCCTGCAACCCCACTCCCAGCATGGGAATCCCACATCCCAGCTATGGAGTCTGTAAAGACACTTGGAGGGTTTAAAATGGACCTGGAGGATGAAAAGAGAAGCAGAAGGAGAAGGGATGGGTAGGACACAGACAGGACAGAGCTGGGTACTCCCTGACCCCACCAGGCTCTGCAGAGGCTCCACTCAGGGCATGGGGGGATCCCTGGAGTGCTGGTTTGACTGTCCCCTGTGCCATCCCCACACAGGGACAGCCTGGCCAAGAGCAGGACCCAGCCCAGGGAACGGAGCTGCAGCTCCCAGGATGGGAAGGATGGGATTGTTAGACCTCAAGAGCACGTCACAAAATCACCTCTGAGATCAAAGAATCATCATAATCCCAGCATGGTTTGGATTGGAAGGGATCTTAAAGCTCATCCCATCCCACCCCTGCCATGGCAGGGACAGCTCCCACCATCCCAGGCTGCTCCAAGCCCTGTCCAGCCTGGCCTTGGGCACTGCCAGGGATCCAGGGGCAGCCCCAGCTGCTCTGGGCACCCTGTGCCAGGGCCTGCCCACCCTGCCAGGGAACAATTCCTGCCCAATATCCCATCCAGCTCTGCCATTCCCTGGGTCCTGTCCCTCCATCCCTTGTCCCCAGCTCCTCTCCAGCTCTCCTGGAGCCCCTTTGGGCCCTGGTCTTTGGGCTCTGAGCTCTCCCTGGAGCATTCTCTCCAGGTGAGCACCTCCAGCTCTCCCAGCCTGGCTCCATGGCAGAGGGGCTCCAGCCCTCGGAGCAGCTCCAGCAGGTCTGAGGTCACTGAAGACAAATTAAACAAGATGTGACAAAGGCAGCATTAACGTGTGGCTCCACGCTGCTCACACTGACCTTCCTCCGCCCTTGGGCAGCTCCCAGCAGCCCCACCCAGATCCAAACCTTGGCTCCAGAAGAGCCAAAGGCGGTGCTGAAGGGGTTGGTTGGAGCCCTGAGCACTTCCAGGTGGGACAGGGAACCCAGCTGGGCCCAGCCTGCAGGGGGACCTGATGGTTCCAGCCAGCTCCCGGGTGGCTGCACGGTTTTCCAACTCCAATGCTGAGCCCAGGAGCTACTGCAGAAGGGAAGAAAGAACTTTCCATTCAAGTCTCCAGCTGGAAGAGCCAGAGAGAGAAATGCTGCCACGTCCCAGGTACAGAGCAGGGCTGGTTCCACCTCAGTGGTGCTGTGCAAGCAGCTGTTCCTTCCCATGGAGCATGGGGAGCTCCCCCCTCCCAGGACTGCAGTGCCCTCCCTTTCTTCACCCCATGGACACGCTTTGGATCTCCAGAGCCCCCAGCCTCGGGTCCCACCACCCCACACATCCACACGAGGCCTCTCCAGGCTGTATGTGGGTGAGAGTCCCAAGGACACGCTCACACACCCCATGGCACGCTGCGGCAACGGGGCCGGACAACTCTGGGCCATAAATCTGTCTGGTCAGGCCTGCTCCCTGCTCCGCAGCCCCAAGGCCACCCCAAGGTCTTTCCAAGGCAGGATCTGCCCCTCCCTTCCAGCTGCAGCAGCTCTGCCCCTGGAGCATCCCGAGCTGGGGAGCGCAGCCCCACGGAGAGCCCGTGTGCCTGGAGGGGCAGCCCCGGGCAGCCCCCTGCCCCTGCAGGGCTCTGGGAGCAGCTGAAGCTCTCCAGCTTGCTCCCTGCTCTCCTTCCCATGAGTTTTTCCCCATTTCTAACAGTGCCCAGCTGGGCCCAGCATCATCACCGGGGCTGTTCCCAAATCTAATCACAGGTTGGGTGAGGAGGGAATTGCACCCTTGCCTTGCAGGAGAGGCTAATCCGGGGGGAAGGGGTGTGAGAGTGATGGAGCCTCATTCCAGGTGGACTTCAAGAACCCCAAAATTCCGGTCAAGAGGAACCTTGTGGACATCAACAAGATGGGAAAGACAACCCCGAGTTTCAGGCAGGCTGGGGACCTGAGCAGGACCCCAGTGAAAGGAACTGGGAAAAGGTCCCGGATAAAGTGGACAGGAGGATGGACAAATGGGACAAGCTGCATCCTCAGCAGCATGAGGGGGATGTGGCCCCCAGCCTGGGTCCTCTGTGCAGCACCAGGGAACCCCAAGCTCTGTGCTCAGAGTGGTTCCCAGTCCAGGGAGGGACGGAGGGGCTGGGAAAGGACCAGCAGGGCTGGCAGAGAGGTGGGTTGGGATCCACCAGCATCCTGCACTGGGGACAGAGGCAGTTCCTCTCAGTAGGGCATGGCTGGCACCAAAGGACAAGGGATGTTCACTGCAGCCTCAGGCTAGGCAGTAGAATTGATATTTTCTCCCAGAGAGGAGGCACAGCTGTGGGACCGAGGTGGGCAAGGCCACCCTTCCACGCTGGGTTAAGCCATGGATGACCTTTCCCGTGCTGGTGCACAGATGGGAGGGGGGGCTGGACACCCCCAGGGGTGCATCCTGCTGTGAGGCAACCTCCAAATTCTTTCCCTTCCCACGCCAGAGCCCACTCCAAGCCCCAGGACACCCTGAGAGCCGAGGCCCTGTGCACCGGACCGTGCCCCCAGCCCAGGGCCCGCTCTGGCCCACATCCCGGGGCTGCATCAGCTGATCCTCCCGGGCAGCCGGTGCTGCAAAGTCAGGCACAGAGATTGCCGGGGCGCCGGCGAGGGGACGGCAGGGGTGGCAGCACAGGGGGCTTGGGGAGCCGGGGGCAGCCGTGCCCTGAAAGCCGAGCCACCTGCGCGCTGCTACCTGCTGAATAATAGAGGAGCTGACAGCCAGCGGAGAGAAATGTGATGCTGGTGAGCCAGCCCGGGAGACATCTGAGCTCCCGGCAGCTGCGATAGCAACTGCAGCCAAGGAGCCTTCCAGCCCCGCGCGGCGTGGCCGGGCTGCCTGCGGCTCCTGCCCATCCCGGCTGCCCGGGGCCCGCTCCAGGGGCACGGGCTGGGCGCTGGCAGGATGATGTGAGCCGCAGAGGGCACCCAGCGAGGCAGAGCTCAAGGGCAGAGCTGGGTTTCCCAGGAGGGGAGGCGGAGGCTGCCCGCAGGCGGTGCCCGCGCCCGGGGGCAGCAGCTCAGCCCCATGTCCAGAGGAGGGGAGATGGTTTATATCCCGGATGACTCCGACTTCAGCTCCTTCAGGGATCAGTGCGAGAGCCTGGAGGGCTGGCACTGTCGGTACAACAAGGCTGGCGTGACCGTGTGGAGTCAGGGCCAGGAGGAAAGCTGCACCGTGCAGAAAATCAAGGTAAGCAGACGCTTCCCTGCCCCAGCCGTATGCCCGACGGCTCCCGAGGGTCCCTGGGGACTTCCCCGTGCTGGAGATGCACAGTCCGGCCTGCCTGGCGGTTTTTCTGCCCACAATTCCAGGGCTGTCAGGGTTAGACCCCCAAAGGTGCTTCCCAGCTGCTCTGCCGGCTCCTGCTGCCCGTCCCGGGGCTTTACCTGCCGGGATCCCCGCAGCCTCCTGCCCTGTGGGCTCACGTGGTGGCTGCCCCCGACCCCGACACAGGCGGGAAGGCCCTGGGATCGATTACAGTATGGAGATGGCCTTGCCGGGAGCCCCCGGACCCGAGCCGGGCTCGTGGGATGCGTCCCTGGTGTCTTTTGCCCGGCTCTGCCCTCCTGGGGCACATCCCCTCGCATCCTCACGGAATGAGATCCCGTAGGAGCCCCAGGTGCTGCTTTGGGAGGTTTGTGGCTTGCCTGGGGTTCTGCAGAGGGACAAGGAGGTTCAGCCATCTCTCAGGTACCTTGTCATCCATCGGCACAACCCCGGTGACGCTGCCAGGTGGGCCTGGGCACACCAGGAGTGGCTGCAGGGTGCTGGGGGCACCGGGTGAGCCCATGGTGGCTCTGGCTTTTCTGGTGACTGAGAATCTCGGCTCCTGGGCCAGGACAGGATCTGCCAAAGCCAGGAGAGGCAGGACATCCAACCTCCAGGACAGCCCAGCTGCTGGAGAGCGTTCAGCCAGGAGGGTTGCCGTGGCCTGGAGAGCAGGGAAGGCACAGGGAGGTGGGGAGGAGGGAACAACACTCTGGAAGAGGCTCTCCCACCGCTGTCCTGAGCACAGAACACCCAGCAGCGCCTCTCCTGCAGCACGAGGAGAGGCTGGGCACATGCTGCTGCCGTGGACAGAGACCCTTCAGGGCCAGGGGGAGGAGCAGAGCAGCACTCTTGGCAGAGCTGCAATACACATTCCCTCTGCCATGATCCAGGGAAGAGCTTCTGCACCTGGATTAGGGAGCATCTAGGCCAGCTGGGCATGCAGAGCAGCAGGGAGTGCTGAGGGGTCAGGCCAACACCTCTTTGAAAAGTCCTGGTGACTGCAGCAGGTCCTGACACCTGGGAAGAGGCAAACATCACATTCCTCTCCCAAAAGGAAGCTCCGGGGCGCTGTGGACTGCTGTGTCACCTCCATCCCTGGGAAGGACATGGAGAATGTGCTCCTGGAAGCCGTGTCCCAGAGGAGGAGGGTGGTCGGGACAGCAGCAAGGACCTGCCAAGGGTAAATCACGCCTGAGCAGCCTGACTGCCTGTGCAGGGAGAGGTCTGGCTCTGTGGGTGAGGGCAGATCCAGCTGGTCTAGACTTGGACAGGGCTTCCTGAGGTCTCTGTGTCCCCACATGGGTGAGATCTGGACTGGAGAGGTGGATGTTGCTCAGAGTGACCAGGACAGGCTGGCAGGAAGCCCTGGAGTCCAACCCTCAGAAGGGGTGCAGTTATGTCCCCCCTGCCACCACTGAGCCCCACAGACAGGGGACCCCAGGTGGGTTCAGGGGAGTCAGGGACCATCACCCAGCCTGGTTCAGTGCAAAAATTGGATTTCTCCCTGCCCTGGAGGGTGCCTGGGTACAGTGCAGGGGTTGGCACTGCCCAGAGTCCCTTCCCAAAACATGGGATGGAGGATGCCAGCCAGCCCGAGCTGCACAGTCAGCAGAGCCTCAGGAGAGCCTCGCTCTGCCCATTAACTGAGGGAGTTAATTATCCCACAGATCCCCTGAGCAGCTGGAGCTTTGGATTTTTTCCATCTACATCCCTGTGGATGGGTCTGGGCTCTGTTCCTTCCCCATCCCAGCTGCTGTGCCTGGCAGGGCTGTTCATCCGAGCCCTGGACAGGCTTTAGTGGGGAAATTTTGGGTGCAAGACCGCGATGGTCCCTCTGCGACAACCGGAGCTTCCAGGAGGCCCATGAGCTCCACCTGCAGCTGGAAAAATCCCTCACCCTGCAGCAGCAGCAGCTCCAGACCCAGCTGGGAGGCTGCAGGAGGAGCAGGAGGAGGGGGCTGGGTGCTCCCACCCTCCCCCTGGTGTCCTGGGGACTGCAGCACACTCCGAGCCCGGCCTGGGCACGGGTCCAGCACGCCGGGCACTAAACCAGACCCGGGCCACCAGGGGAAAGCTCGCCCGAGATTGATGGGACCTGCCGCGCTCAGAGGGCCGTCTCCGGTTACACGGCACCTCATCAAAGATGCAAGGGCTCTAACGAGGAGCAGATGACATCTCCCTCCTCCCGGCCGCCTTCATCAATAATGCACGGCTGGCGCGGCCGGGCAGCTCCGGGGCTCCGGTTACAGCCGGGCCCCCCGGGAGCGGACCCCGCACCCCAGAGCATCGTCAAGGGGCATGGGCAGCGCTTTGTTTGCCCTGCAAGGACATGGGGTAGGGGACAGGCATCAGAGGGGGGCAGTGGCGGAGCTTTCCTGCGTGACCTTGCCAGCTGAGCGTGGAGGTTTCTGCCTCAGGGTCTGAGATTCGTGATGGAAATCCAAAAAGGGTTTGGGGAATGTGCAAAATCTCCCATGGGACATTTAAGAAAGGACCCCAGGAAGGGAAAGGGTGGGGGATTAAGGTGTTTTGCTGAAAGTTGGTGGTCAGTGCCCATCCCTGGCCATGCCCTACAGCTGATCCCTGCAGCCTGTGGCATTTTCCTAAACCCTTTTTTTTTTGCCAAGAACTCTCTGGGACAAGGGAACTCCCTCTGCGCTGGGTACCGAGGGATGTCCAAGTGCCAGCTGCTGTATTGGGGACCACAAATCATCAGAGCCTGCATCCTTTGGCCACCGGGACCATCTGTTTGAGGGCAGAGGGTCATTCTGGCCCCGCTCGGCTGCAGGAGTGGTGGCTCCGGGGCTGTCCTGTATCACATGTGCCAGAGCATCCTCCATGGGCAGGGGACAGCCCGAAGTCCTTGTCCTTGAGGTGGGAGCAGCTCCGGGGATGGCTGCTGCCCCCCGCCCCTCTCCCCACAGACCCGCATCTCCTGCAAGGACGTTCCTGCCGAGACCCTCTATGACGTGCTGCACGACACCCGCTACCGCAAGAAGTGGGACTCCAACATGATCGAGACCTACGACATCGGCCGCCTCACCGTCAACGCTGATGTTGGATACTACTCCTGTGAGCAGCCCCTGAGACCCCCGGGAACCCCCTGCCCAGCCCCAGGCCCCCGTGGGTGTGGGGGGGGGGCTGGGGTTAACAGGATGTGCCCGCAGGGAAGTGCCCGAGCCCCTTGAAGAACCGGGATTTCGTCACGCTGCGCTCCTGGCTGCCCCTGGGCAATGACTACATGATCATCAACTACAGCGTCAAGCACCCGGTGAGCCCCCGGCTGCCCCCAGCCCTGGCAGGGCTGCCCGCGGCACGGGCAGGGCTGGGCAGGCTCTGAGGAGCCTGGAATCTCTCCGCAGAAATACCCGCCGAGGAAGGATTTCGTGAGGGCCGTGTCCCTGCAGACCGGGTACCTGATCAAGGCCAACGGGGACGGTGCCTGCATCCTCTATTACCTCACCCAGGTGGACCCTCGCGGTGAGTGCCCGGAGGAGGGGAGATCAGAGCTCACCCCCCTGGCTCTCCATCACCCAGGCACCCGGGAATGGGGAGGAAGGGGTGCCCACCCCAGCCCTGGGGGTGCTGCGGGCTCCTGGTGCCTCCCCTGGGGCTGGCCCTGCTTCTCCCAGTGACGGGGGCTTTGGGCTCTTGCAGGGTCGCTGCCAAAGTGGGTGGTGAACCGCGTGTCCCAGTTTGTGGCACCGAAGGTAAGGAGGGGGACACATGGCCAGTGGTGGGAGTCACGGGCAGCGGGGATGAGCTGCCCAAATTTCCCCTGGCTGGGGCCAGGATGGGTGACCCAGAGCCCACAGGGTGGGTCCTGGATGACCCAGGGCACTGAGGATGGATGCTGGAAGGCCCAGAACTCATGGGACAGGTGCTGGGAGATGCAGAGCTCAGAGAACAGGTCCTGGGTGACCCAGGACCTGCAGGACAGGTGCTGGATGGTCCAGAGCTCACAGGACGGGTCCTGAGTAATCCAAGGCTCAGAGGACTGGGATGCAAGGCTCCTGGGATGGGTGCTGAGTGATACAGGGCTCCCAGGATGAACTCTGGGTGATGCAGGGCTCCCAGGATGAGCTCTGGGTGATGCAGGGATCCCAAGATGAGCTCTGGGTGACACAGAGCACACACTGGGCACGTTGCTGGGGCAGCCAGGCCCTCATCCCCTCCCAACACCCCAAAACCTGCAATGGGGGAGCTGGGAGCCGTGCTCACAGCCCAGGGCACCCCAGCCCCATCCCCGCTGTGCCCACAGGCGATGAAGAAGATCTACAAGGCTGGGCTGAAGTACCCGGAGTGGAAGCGCCGGCACGACCCCGAGTACAAGCCCTGGGTGTACCCCGAGCAGAACACGCTGCCCAGCGTCAGCCTGGCCGAGCTCTCCGTGCAGCACGCGGATTCCCTGGAAAACATCGACGAGACCGGGCTGCCTGAGGAGCACCTGAGCACCAGCGACCACGAGGCCTGAGCCCTCCGTGCAGGGGAATCCCCTCAGCAGCGAGGCTTGGCACCCAGGGGGCACAGCTGGGAATTTGGCTCCCTGCTTCCCAATAGTCACATCTGCTCTCCAACTCCTTCATCACTGACCCCCCTCCACCTCCCTGCCCAGGCAGTGGGGAAATGTCCCGTGGGATCTGCGTCACAGGAAGAGGGAGGATGGGCAGCCTGGTGCTCCCTGTGCCCACGGAGGTGTCCCCGCAGGAGACAGCGCTGGCAGCGCGTGTTCCGAGAGGCTGAGGTGGGCAGGAGCTTTCCTAGCTCCAGGATATGGCTCTGTAAGAGCCTCAAAGGCCCAGAAATGGGGGGTCTGTGAGGCGCCCTGTGTGCTCAGGTTTTGCAGCAGCACAAGGTTTGGACTGACCCCATCCAGCCTGAGGTCCAGCTCTGCCAAACCCAAGGTCAGGCTGGACTCACTCCAGCTCTCCCCTCCCCTCCAAGCTTAGTGTGACCCCTCCCCAGCTCAGGGAGCCCTCCCAGGTCCTCCCCTGAGCACCAGGCTCACCTCTGCAGGCTGGCTCTAGCCCAGCTGGCTCTGGGGACCCCCTCCCCTGGTGGTTTGTGGGGTTTGTCCTGGCAGTGGGGTCTTGGGCCTCCCGTGTCCCCACTCCCCCAGCGTTCGCCGCCGCTGTGGCACAACAATAAAGGGGTTGGTGTGTGTGAGAGCTTATGGGGCTGGCACAGGATGGGGAGGGGGCTGGCACGGAGCCCACCCAGAGGCAGCCAGGTCTGAGTCGGACAGGAGGTCCTGTCCATGCAGCCCAAGCACCCTGGGGTGACCCTCAGCAGGGACAGAAGTGGCCACAGCAGGACAGGACAGAAGGATGCTGGGCTCTGCACCCCCACGTGAGCGCACGTGGGCACGGGGCAGCTTCCACCGGACAACGGGAAGTTGGTCTAGACAGGCACTGCCGTGGGAATACGCTGACAAATGAGGGATTTTCCACCCACTCCTCACCCCCACCCTCCGAGGCTGCTGGAGGCAGCTGGGTTCTGTCCCCAGCTGGATTTGAGCCTGGTCTGTGCAAGGTCATTGCAAATGGGGATGTCACTGCAGCTTTTGGGGTACCTCTGGCCCAGCTTCACACCCCTGGGCCCCCTGACACCCTGGTCCCCCTCCAGAGCTGCCCTGTGTGTGCTTCCAGCACACCTGGAGCTTTTCTCCACCCCAATATCTCAGGAATGGATATTTGATGTCCCCCTTTAGCCACCCTGTGAGGTCACAAATGTCCCCTGCGCTGCCCCGGGGGACATCACACACACGTGCAGAGTGCTGGGGAGGGGACAGCAGGTCCTGGCTGTCAGGACAGCCGGATCCCGGGCTTTGCAGCTGGGCTGGCTGCACGGAAGCCACCTCGGCAAGGAAAATGTGGAAAACAAGGACAGGGGATGTGCAGCTCGCACCTCGCCGCACACAGCGACAGCAGCTCCCTCTCCACTCTGCTCCCATCTCTGGCAGCAGACAGGGATTATTTTACCTGTCAAAAGACACATCCCAGCCCCAAATTGCCCCAAAACCACTCTGGCAGAGCTGGGAACGGTGGACAATCACCCCCGGGTGCTGCCCTGATGGGGCAGAGCCCAGTGGCAGCCGAGCCCGCAGGGTGCTGGGGTAGAGACCCAGCCTCAGCCCTGCGGGGAGCAGCCTCATCCCTCGGCATTCCCTGGATGTTTCTCCGCAGGATCCGGGCTGCAGCTCTGCCAGGGGGTTATTTTTAGCCAGCCCTGAGTGGGAGTGAGGAGCTGCTGCCTGATCAGCGAGAGCCCCAGGGAAAGCTGTGCCGGGCTGGGTGATACCTCAGCCGGGATGTGGCCCAAAATGAGCAGGATGGCGGTGGCACAGGGGGTGTCCCTGTCACTGCTCCGCATCCAGCGGGCTGCAGGAGAGCTCCTGGCCCCCCGTTACAGCCAGGGCGAAACTGGCGGGGCACCGTGGGCTGCCAGCAGCCCCAGCACGATGATTCCTTTTGGAACGATGTGGTTTTCCTGTGGCACAAACAGGAAAGGGACCGGCCGCCGGCATCCCGAGCGAGGCACGGCGCAGGGCAGGGTGCGAGGGGCTCGGAGCCCCCCGGGGGCCCTCGCTGGGATTTTGGTGGCCCAGAGCCCGGTGGGGGTGAGGGTCAGACACGCGGGGGCTGCGGCCTCGTACGAGAGCCCAGCTGGGCGCTTTTCCTGCCCGGCTCCGAGCGCAGAGATTGGAAAGGAAACGGGAAGCTGCTGCTGGCCGGGAGATTAGCCCGGAGGCGGTGATGTCAGCCGCCCCTGATGGATCGGGGGCAGCGGGAGCGTGGCACGGGCCCATCCTGGCCACACACCGTGTCCAACGTGCCCCCGCTGGGGCAGGATGTGACTCCATGGCTGGATCCCGTGATTTGCGTCTCCTGAGCTCATGGGTAGGTCTTGGGCAGGTTTTTGTCCCAAATCAGGACTCTGATTCCAGCGAGGAGCCCCCCCAGCAGCCTCATGGACTAACCTTGAGCAGGGTTTTTGCCTGGAGAGGTCCAGCAGATTTCCAAGACTCTAGTTCCTTCCTCCCAGGGGCTGAGCTCTGTGCTGTGCCCTGCAGACCCTCCAGGCTCAGTCCCAACCCCACATTTCCAGATATCCAATGCCATATTTTCCTCTCTAGGGATGAGCCTTGAGTGTCCCTCACCCTGTCCTGCTCCCACCGTCACCCCACACATCCCCCAGCATGAACCTGCTGGGTGGGGCTGCAGGTAAAGCAAAAAACTGCCCCAAAAAGCAAAAGGTGATGGCTGGGGAAGGATGGAAGGAGAGGGAGGGAGAAAGAAAAGGAGGGAGGAAGGGTGGGAAGGAGGATGGATGAATGGATGGATGGATGATGGATGGATGATGGATGGATGGATGAGGGATGGATGGATGGATGGATGGATGGATGATGGATGGATGGATGAGGGATGGATGGATGGATGGATGGATGGATGATGGATGGATGGATGAGGGATGGATGGATGGATGGATGGATGGATGATGGATGGATGGATGAGGGATGGATGGATGGATGGATGGATGGATGATGGATGGATGGATGAGGGATGGATGGATGGATGGATGGATGGATGATGGATGGATGGATGAGGGATGGATGGATGGATGGATGGATGGATGATGGATGGATGGATGAGGGATGGATGGATGGATGGATGGATGGATGATGGATGGATGGATGAGGGATGGATGGATGGATGGATGGATGGATGATGGATGGATGGATGAGGGATGGATGGATGGATGGATGGATGGATGATGGATGGATGGATGAGGGATGGATGGATGGATGGATGGATGGATGATGGATGGATGGATGAGGGATGGATGGATGGATGGATGGATGGATGATGGATGGATGGATGAGGGATGGATGGATGGATGGATGGATGGATGATGGATGGATGGATGAGGGATGGATGGATGGATGGATGGATGGATGATGGATGGATGGAGGGACGGATGGATGGATGGATGGATGGACGGACACAGGGATCCTGAGGGACAATGTCATCCTGGGTACTGCCCAAAAAAGGGAAGGAACCAACCTTCACTTTGATGTTTGCTTCCTCCAACCCCTGCCAGCATCATCTTAAAGCCCCAGGGGGGTTCTGATCCTTCCCATCTGCCTCCTGCAGGGAGCTGTGTAACCATGGCAGGACAGGGCTCTGTGCCTCTGCCCAAGGATGCTTAAATATAAATATAAATATAAATATAAATATAAATATAAATATAAATATAAATATAAATATAAATATAAATATAAATATAAATATAAATCCCATCAGCAGGCTGGCAAACACTGGGAGCAAGCAGAGGCTTTGAAACCTGCTCTGCAGAGCGTGGGCTGATAGGAAGCCCTGGGGAAACATTCCATCCTGGTGCCCTACTGTGCCCTGCTCCAGGGTGGCCCCATGGATGGTCCTGGATGGGTTCTGGGAAGGAGAACTCCCCCTTGGGAATCAGGTGCTGGGGCTCAGCAGAGGTGCTTGAGCAGGGGACTCCTCCTGCCACGGGAACACATTCCCACACCTGGGAATTAGGTGACTGTGGAGGGAGAAGGGAGCAGTGGAGAAGGTTTTCTGCACCAAACTGCCCCAGCAGCAGCCATAAGGGTGTGGGAGCTAGACCCTGTCCTTGCTCACATCAACCCTATCAGGACAGTGACTTGCCATCGTGAGGATGTGCCAGGGACAACATTTCCCTCCCCTGCAGCCCAGCGCTGCCCTCCTGGCAGCAGGGAGGAGCACTGCTCCCAGCAGCAAGTTCTGAGGGGTCACAAAAGTACTGCCAGCACATCAGGGAGAGATCCTGCCCCTGTGCCCAGCCCTGGGGACACCTCTGGAGTGCTGTGTCCAGCTCTGGATGCTCAGCACAGCAGGGACAGGAGCTCCTGGAGCTCAGGAAGGGCCTGGAGCATCTCCGTGCCCAGGAGAGGCTGAGGGAGCTGGGGCTGCTCAGCCTGGAGAGGAGCCCCAGCTGAGAGGGGCCCTCAGCCCTGGGTGTCCCTGGGTGTCCTTGGGTGGTCCTGGGCGTCCCTGGGTGTCCCTGGGTGCAGGGAGGGTCAGAGCATGGAGAGGCAGAGCTGCTGCCCTGGGCAGTGCCCAGTCCTGAGCAAATTGTGCAGAGAAGCTGTGCAGTGTCCTCACTGGGGATATTCCAGAAGCCCCTGGACACAATCCCGTGCTCTGAGCTCTGTCTGAGCAGGGATTTTGGATCAGAGGAGCCACTGTGGATCCTCCCAGCCTGACTCTGCCCTGGATTCTGTTTGTGGAGATGCTGCAGGGTGCCAGACTGTGCTTCACTGCTGCAACGCCTGCAGCACAGCAGGACAGAGATGGTGACAGATCAGCTGTGCTCTGTCCCTCCCATTCACACCACAGACCTCAGCAGCCTTCCCAAGAACAGCAGGGACAAACAGCTTCCTCTAAGAGGCAGAGGGATGGCACGGTGTGCCCC